AGATAGATAGATAGATAGATAGATAGATAGATAGATAGATAGATAGATAGATAGAGAGGGAAAGAAAGAGAGAGAGAGGGGGTGGGGGAGAGGAATGAAAAAGAGAGAGGGAGAATAAATAACATAATAATATGTGTGTATGTGTATGTTTGTGGGTGCGTATGTGTTGTGTGTGTGCGTGTGTGTGTGTGTGTGTGTGTGTGTGTGTGTGTGTGTGTGTGTGTGTGTGTGTGTGTGTGTGTGTGTGTGTGTGTGCCTGTAAAGTGGCGGGAGGTTGTCATTTGTATCATCATTATAAAACCACACTATCATTCGTGTATCGTGGTTTGGGATTTGGTAAGTTTACGGCTACAACGATTTTATCTTCGTATTGATTACGTTTTCAAGACCTACAAACATTTTTTTTTTGTTGCTGCCATTGTATGTTTATAATGTTGTTATTACTAGTTGTTGTTTTTTTAGGTGGTGTTGGTATTGTTCCAGTTGCTAGAGTAACTGAATTAATCACAAACCCATCCTTTTCCCCTCCAGATTACACTGCAGGAATACAACGCCAAGAACGCACAGTTCCGGATTCTGCCGCAGTACAAGGTCAAATCAGAGGGAGAAGTGGTGAGTAAACTAAGAGTACTCTTTGTGGTTATTATTGATCACAAGAGGAACAGACTTTGAGCTTTTGATCAGCCTGTCATGTAGTGATAGTTGCATGCTTCCTGCGCTGCGGTTGTTGTATGGTTCCACAGGAAGTGTTCTTGGTGCCCGGGGACTTGCTCATAACCCTTCAGATTTGCTCTGTTGATGAGGTAACCAGCTGGTTTGGTTTAGTTTAGTTTTAGTAGAGGTTTTACGGCGCTCGCAAAACCTCTACTAAAACTAAGCTAAACTAAACCAGCTGGTTACCTCATCAACAGAGCAAATCTGAAGGGTTATGAGCAAGTTCCCGAGCTGGGAACTAAGCTATCCTTTGTCTTCATTTAGGTCAGCACTGCTTTTCCTAAATAACACTTAAGGCACGACGGGATGGTATTAGTGGCTTTTCTGCTTTTTGGCATATCGCTACCTCAGCGTTACAATTAATGTCTACCTGCTCAATACCTAGTGTTGAGACATTTCATGTTAAGAATTTAAGTCGCGCAACATTACAAGCTTTTTTCTGATGCAATTCTTTGAATATCTCGAGAACGACTCAAATAATCTTACTATTTTTAGAGAGCAGATAGAACATTATTATTATGATTTCTGAACTTTTGGTCTTAATAACTCAAAACGGCCAAAAATATCAGACAGAACTTTGAAATTCAAAGGTAGCGATATTGAATTAATGAAATCATCTTAAAGTTAAAGCGTGTTTTTTGTCTGCCTTTTTAGTGAAAAAATACCCATCTATCTTGAAAAGAAGTCGAGATGTTTGCCACCGAAGGAAATGGGAGTCGCCTGGTGTCAGTGGTAAATTTAGTGAGAAAATGGCGGCCAAAGTAACCTGCAAAGCTTGAGGAACTTTGCTTTCAAAAGCTTTTTATTAAATTAAAATAGGATCCACAAAATAAATGAAAATAAAGGAGCCCCCCCCCCCCCCTTCTCCACCCAAAAAAGTACGATAAGAATACCCCGACGCTCTTTCGATTTCTTTATATTGGCGAGCGCCTGATTCCACCATGTTCAATTCCGCACACAACGAATGCAATATACTGCAGATCTATAGCTTTCTGGCCTCTCCTTAAATAATTGTTTGCATTTTGAATCTATGCACCGGTTTTTTAGGGGGACGGGGGAGTGTCGGTGGGTTGAAATTAGTCTTTCGTTTTTGAGCTTCAGAGTTTCAATGCCCCTTATATGGCACAAAGTATGGGATAAACAAAATTACCTCCCTCCTTTTTTTCTTAAGGGGCCGGGCTGCGAGGGCTCTTAAAGTCACTGAGTGTGACCATCGTCCATTCAACAATGTCCTTAATGAAATACACATAATTCGTACGCAAAGATCAGTCGATCCATAATTCATTAAGTCTTATTCCTTATTACATCATATGGGCAACAGTGTCTGTTTGTTACAGAAAGTGTGGTATTCATAGACCAATCTGAAGGAGTGGGTGGTTGTCTCTTGCTGTGGTTTGGTTTGCTTCTTCTTTCCCATCATACATATATTATGGTCCTTATATCTCATGCGTCTTTTGTATATGTTACTCTCTTGTAACACCTGTAATTTTGGGTACGTATACGACCTTATGGTGCTGCAAGTGCCGTAAAACTCTTAAACTAAAAGGCAATCAGAAATGAACGCCTACTTTTTCTATCTTAGCAAACCCTTGGTTTGTCTGTCTTGTTACATTAAAGAAAACATTAAGTAAAGAAAATGTATATTATTATTTTTATATATATATATATATATATATATATATATATATATATATATATATATATATATATAAGTTATTTGATCTTAAAACGTGTTTGTTCACAGGTTCAAATCTACGACCAGATTGTATTTGAGAGCATCAAATCTCCCGGGCATTTCTTCCATGCTAGTGCCGACTTCCAGATTGATCACTTTAACAAAGGGTGAGACTCTACAATGTGTCTTGTCGCTGTTTTTTCACGACGAAGCTGACGTTGTTCGTTGTTTTCGTTGTTGTTGTTAATAATAATGATAAATAAACAGCATTTGTGTTGCGCAAATCCCCGCTCAAGAACAAGCCATATTTGTTTAAAATATATTTTAAGAAACTCCGGCAGAACTAAAAAAAAAAATTCGAGACGTTTCGGTTTTCCGGAAAGCATACACTGCAAGCAGCCGGCCGAAACACTAAAAAACTGACAAGATCGTCCACAGTCTATAGCTGGGTACCATTTCCCACTTGGATGAATTGAGGAAAATCAGTGCAAAGTGCCTTTCCTGAGAACACAATGTTGGGGCCTTGACGGGGTTCGTACCCCTGACTTTTCACTGCGAGCAGAATGGCTAAATCACTACACTATCGAACAACACGCCTTGTCTCTTGAAATTTGTGTCTATTGGTTGTTTCTTGGGGAGATGTATGCTGTCTTCTTGAAGTATCTTCAATAATGTGCATTAGATAATTTAGCTTTAATGAAAATTTCAAAAGTCATTCTATGTTTGTTTGTTTCGCAATCCTTGGTGGCGTCGGTGTCCTAGTGGTTAGGCTCTCGTACTCGCAACCATAAGGTCGTGGGTTCGAATCCCGTCAGGGGCCCGACGTTGTGTCCTTGGGAAAGGCACTTTGCACAATTTTCCTCTCTTCACCCAGGTGGAAATGGGTACCCGGTTATAGACAGTGAACGATCTTGTCACTTTGATAGCGTTTGAGTGTGTGAAATCCGCAACTTGCACTGTATGCTTCCGCCGAAGCCGAGAATGTTTCTGAGTGTTCTCGGAGGGTCTGCTGGGGTAATAATAGTTGTAAAGCGCATAGAGCATGCTCTTGAGCATGGATATGCGCTATATAAATACAATTATTATTAATTATTAATGTTCTTATGCCCTATTTCTACTCTTGTTCTCTCTATGTTTCTATCTACTAGACTGTTAAATTGCATCACTCCTCCTCCCCCTCCCCCACCCCCGGCCCACTTTTCCAGCCCGACGGAAACCATTTTACAACCTTTCCCAGAACACTAATGGAGTCGGTGCGTAAACACAATGTAATACTTTCAAAGAATTAAAAAAGCGTCTACGTTGTGTTTACAACAGAAGAATCCCTAAAACACACGAGGCTGCTTCATTTTATCTTCCTGGCTCTTGGTTGCCTGTGTGAAATGAATCCTTTCAAAATGGCGGCATCTGTACCTTCACCTTAGAATAACCAATGCCTCGAGTGTACCCACACCGCTCTGTGTAGTGATTAAATGTACAGAGCTTCGGGGTTTTACGATAACAAACATTCGTGCCATCTTGGGGTGGGTCTGAATCGAAAAAAAGAGTATTTTGTGGTGATCTTAGTTAATGTAGTTCTTGGTATTTTTTCATATTGCTTCATGGGTGTTTCACTCTATTGTTACCAGTTAGGGAAGAGGTTTTTTTCTGAAAAATTATTCTGATATTAATAGTATCCTTCTAAGTTCAGATTCGTTTTCTTTTCATGAGTTCTTGTTTAAATGTAAAACTGATCTCGTGCTTTTTGGAATTCGAGGATAAACGACAATGGTGGATTAATTGTTTAATTATTCCTCTACTTCTTCAATCGACCTACAATCTATTTATCTGGACACACATACACCCCTCCTTTCTCCAAAAAAAAAAATAGCGCAAAGGAACAAGACTCGAGAACTGCGTTCATTGTCAATAACAATGAAGTCAATGCGCTAGGATTCGTCAAATAACTGATATGCGATTGTGTAGGCCTAGCAATGACGCTTACGTAGTATAGCACAATGGAGCAGTTACCTACTAGAATCTACTACAGAATTCGATGTCTTCTCAAGAGCTAACGAAAATGTTCTGTTTCGTTTTTCAAAAAGCAGAATCTACTTGGAAAAAATCGTAGGCTCTATAAGATGTGTAATTCCCTAAAAACTGTCCTATGCGAGACTTTGTAAAGGTGGCCAGGCTTACTAACGGCATTATCCAGGACGGTTTTCTTTTAATTATTTTTCTTCTTCTTCTTTTCTTATGAGTATGTTTCTGTTAGTAATCCTGTGTATATGTTTACATGCTTGTGTCTGTTTCTAAAAGATGATTTTAAACTATACGACACCGATCCCAAGTAAGCTAAAATAGACAAAGAGTCTGAGAGTGGAATAAAACATATTGAACGATTGTCTCCACCTTTTGATAACATTAGAATCCTCCACTTTTACACGTCGTATTCTTTTCACTTGTCACCCTCAGATCCGAGTTGAACCTTGGAGTGGAACGGTCTGGCTTCACACTGGTTCGTTTCTGCAAAGAAAACCCAGACTTGGAGTTGTTTATGAAGGTGATCGTCAATGTTCAAGTTGTCATCGTCACTCTCACTAGAGTTGTTAGTGTTTTTTTGTTTTTAGCACAGTCAAATTCTCGTTCTGCCGTCCAGAGTTGTACATTATTTTTCTAGTGTGGACCTCGTTGCTTTCCCCCGCAGTTGAGTGGTAGGATCCCCCTAGCTTCGATAATAAGCCTTTTGCATTCTGGATAATATGACTGTTCCGAACGGAAGTCATTACGGAGCTCTCAACAAGCATAATATCTGCTGTTTTAGCTCAGGTTGCAGTTAGTTTCAAATTTACCTAGAGCCTTTGTGTCAGGCGCGTTTAGCTGGTGTGATCAACCACATTTTCCATATTCTAGACGTGCTCATAATATTTATTTACTTTTTAAAAATTCATCAGTTGTTTTATTTATTCATTTATGTATTTATTTA